TGTGTGGGCCGGCACAGGGCCCCTCCGCCCGCCGCCGCCTCGCTCGGCGCGGGTCCCGGGGGTTGCCCAGTTAACTTTTAATTAAAATGCTTTTATTGTTTTTCTTCCAGCCAGTAGAATATAAATTCCATGGTGGAAGAAACTTTGTGTTCTTATTCACCAAGGTATAGGAAAGCGGGACACTGCATAGACAGTGAAATATGAACTGGTGGGCCAGTCAATGCCACAGGAGTAACACAACACTCTGCTCTGCAGTGTGGGACCCACATGGGAGGGTTCTAGGTTTGCTTCCTGGGATCTCTGTGTACATGCTGGGCACTTGCACCTTCTGTGATCTAGGCTAGTTAAGGCTAGGAGTGGGTCACAACTTGAGGATCCTGAGAGGGGTACTGTCTCTCTCTCTCTCTCTCTTCTTCAGAAGAAATAAACTTTAAAAAGTATGTAGGACCAGGGATCAGCAGGTGGCATGGTGGTTAAGTTGATGGATACTCCCACATGTCCAACCACAGTTTGAGTCCTAGACCTGGTGGCTTGCTTTCTCACTTTCTTTCTCTCTTTCTCTCTGTGTGTGTTTCGCTCTGGTCAAATGAAAAAAATAAATGAATGAATAAATAATATTAAATAAATAATTATTTTTTAAAATAATAAAAAATATTTAGGGCAAGCTTCGGAGAACAGACAGTCTGAGCAAACATGGTGACCTTTATACACATGCAAAAACACGGTTCCATGAATGGTGATTTGCAGGGTGATAAAAGCAATTTATGAATTGAATATGAATATGCTAGCTGCCTGTTGTTATCAATACAAAAATAGTATGGGGTTAAAGAAAGCCACATATGTTTATCAAAACTGGCTCCAAAAGATCAGAGAAACTACAAGGCACCAGTTGTTCTCACATCTTCAGCCAATTAACATCCAAAAACAACTGGCTTTGTATTCCACTTCCCCTTCCACATTTTCTAGGCACTCTCCACAGACAGTGGTGTGGTGGTTGGGGCAACTAGATCTCATATGGCCAACTGTGTGGTTTGAGTCCTGAACCTAGCAGCTTGAAAAACATGCCAGGGTGTGTGTGTGCATGCCCAAAATCCTGAAATGAGGAAGAATGAAGAAGAAGGGATTGCTGTGTGACCATACCCCATGGAGAGTGCTTTGTCACTTTCTCTGCCTCTGTCTCTCTCCAGCAAGTGCACATCCCCTCTAGCAAAATTTTTAAAATTTTACATATATATATATATATATAGAGAGAGAGAGAGAGAGAGAGAGAGCACACCAGTCCTTGGCCTGGTCGTTAAGAGAGCTGGATCTCACATGGCTAACAGTGCAGTTGAATTCTGGACCTGGCATCTTGAAAACATGCCTGAAATTTGTGCATGCATGCCCAAAGTCCTGAAAGGAGGGAGAAATGAAGAAGAGATTGTGGCATGACCATGCCCCAATGGAGGGGTGCTTTCTCCCTTTCCCTCTGTCTCTGGTAAGCACACATGCCATTACTGGCAAAAAAACAATCATAAAGGAAAAAAAAAGCTATAGATGGGGCCAGCAGGTGACATGGTGGTTAAGATGCTGGATTCCCATATGGCTGACTGCAGTTCAAGTCCTGGACCTGCTGGCTTAAAAATCATGCTGGGCACATATGCCCAAGTGCCCAAAATCAAGAAGAAAGTGGAAGAGAAGGATTTACTGCATGGTCATCTCCCTAGGGGGTAATTTCTCATTTTTCCTCTCTCTCTCCCCCAGTAAGCACACATAGCCTATGGCAGAACCCCCTCCTCCCCCCCAAAAAAAAGACATATAACTGAAAAGAGAATGTCCCAGCCTTAAAAGCTGAATCCTATGTTCTTTCTTTCTAGTCCGGTTCTCCACTGAGGGACATGAGGCATCCTTCACTATCCGCATAAGACACCCTGCCAACCCTCGGCTGTACCCACCTGGGTCTACACCCCAGGGAGGTGAGGCTGGTAGGAGCAGAGAAGTGGTCGATCCATCGCTGGTGGAAACAAGTTGGGTGAGGGTGGCCATGGGAGGGAATTTCTTCCTCCCCTTTCTCCACTGTCCTTGTCTTCCCCTAACTCTGTGCCCTCACTCCCAGCTCAGTACAACATCAGTGCTCTGGTCACCATTGCCACCAAGACCTTCCTTCGTTATGATCGGCTACGGGCACTCATTGCCAGCATCCGCCACTTCTATCCAACCATCACAGTGATCATCGCTGATGACAGCGACAAGCCAGAGAGAGTTAGTGGTCCCCACGTGGAGCATTATCTCATGCCCTTTGGCAAGGTGCGCAGTCAATAAGGCTCATCTGGTGTACTAGAGGACTTGTGGGGGGGGGCGTTGCACGCTCGACCTGCAGCCTCTAGGATCATGAATCGGGAACCACCTACCTCAGAATTGTAGGGGTACCTGTTAAGCATGAAGATTCCTGGATTGTGCTCCATGGGAGCAGGGATTGTGCCTATCTTATTCTTTTAGAATCATGCTTTGTCCCTATTGGTCGTTCAGTAAAAATAGTTGTTGAGTGAATGAATGAATGAATCCGTACAAGACCTTAATGCACTCCAAGACTCACCCGCGGAACACAGCCTCAGAATCTCTGGGGATGGGGATGGGTATTTGCATTTTTTACCAGCTCCTGCCATTCAAAGGCAGTCAAAAGTTCAGAGATGGGCACAGGCTGGCAAGAGGGGTCAGGGGAGAGAGGAAGTCAGGTGGCCGAGGGGCAGGTGACCCATCTCTTCAGCCTCCCAACTGTACACACCTTTCCTCCAGGGATGGTTTGCAGGCCGGAACCTGGCTGTGTCCCAAGTAACCACCAAGTACGTGCTGTGGGTGGACGATGACTTTATCTTCACAGCGCGGACGCGGCTGGAGAGGCTTGTGGATGTGCTGGAGCGGACGCCGCTGGACCTGGTAGGACAGGGCAGGGGCAGAGGAAGTGGGGTGGGAGAAAGGCTTTGAGCAGCTGAGACTGTGGTGTGGGGGGGCCAAAACCAAGAGCAGCCTGCCCTGGGACAGAGAGGGGACAAAGAAGTTGGACCTGGGGGACTGGGTCCTGCAGAGGAGAAATGGAAGGGGATGGGGCAAGGAAACCACCCGAGACAGGAGTGCATAGACCTACCCCCTCCAGTGCCTACCCGCCTGGCGCCATCCTCCCACTCCTCGCAGGTGGGAGGCGCAGTACGAGAGATCTCTGGCTTTGCTACCACCTACCGGCAGCTGCTGAGTTTGGAACCAGGTGCACCAGGCCTCGGGAACTGCCTTCGGCAAAGGCGTGGCTTCCATCATGAGCTCGTTGGCTTCCCAGGCTGCGTGGTCACCGATGGAGTCGTTAACTTCTTCCTGGCTCGCACCGACAAGGTGCGTGAGGTCGGCTTCGATCCGCGCCTCAGCCGTGTGGCACATCTGGGTGAGTGATGCTGCGAGGCACCTGATGCTGGCCCCGCCTTCTGCAGTACCCACCTACCCCTCCCCCACTTACCCCCCCACTCCGTGCTGCTAGAGTTCTGCAAAGATTTATCAAGCCCTCCACCCGGCCAGAGACAGAGTTCCCACCCTTTCCCAGTCCTCATACCGTTTAAACCTTCTGGCCCAGAATAGCCGCTAGGCTTGTCTTGAACTTCCTAGTCACTGTCACCACCACTCCTACCCCCAGACGCTTCCCCTGGTTCAGATCTCACGCCTCAGAGCAGCCCAGCTGGCATTTATTAAAGTTCTGGGAAGCGGAGTGAGTAGTAGGCTTTTCCACTTTTTTTTTTAAAGAATTATTTTATTTGGGACGAGCAGTTGGCATAATGGCTGTGTCACTGGACTCCCATGTAGTCGACCGCGGTTCACATCCCGGACCCAGTGGCTTAAACTCACGCTGGGCGCGAGTGTGTGCATGCCCAAGATCCCGAGAGGAGAATGGAGAAGGGATTGTTGCGTGGCCATTCCCCCTGGGGGGTGGTTTCTCGCTTTCTGTCTCTCTGTCTCTCCAAGAGCAAAAAAAAAAAAAAAAAAACCTTAAAAAAAAAAAAGAATTATTTAATTTAATTATTTTTTATTTGACCAGAGGGAGATGGGGGGAGGGGGGTGAGAAAGCATGCCGCCAGGTCTCCATGTGGGAGTTCAGTGCTCCAACCACCACACACCACCTGCCACCAGTTTTTCCATTTTCAAAGCACAAGTATACTGACTCCAATTCACACGGGAGTAAAATTTAGACCCACAGGGATTAATTTACATGCTCAAGGTCGTTAGGAACAGACTCTGCCCTGCACCCTGCAAATCCTAAACTTCCATTAATTTGCATGCTCAAGGTCGTTAGGAACAGACTCTGCCCTGCACCCCGCAAATCCTGAACTCCCATTAATTTACATGCTCAAGGTCCTTAGGAACAGACTCTGCCCTGCACCCTGCATACCCTAAACTTCAGGTCTCCCTTTGGCTGGCTTTCTGCACCCTGAAGGTATACTCTCGCCTTCCTTCCATCCCCAGAATTCTTCCTGGATGGGCTTGGTTCCCTTCGGGTCGGCTCCTGCTCTGATGTCCTCGTGGATCATGCATCTAAGCTGAAGCTGCCTTGGGTGTCAAGGGATGCAAGGGCAGAGACTTACACGCGGTACCGGTACCCAGGGTCACAGGATGAAAGTCAAGTGGCCAAACACCGCCTGCTCTTCTTCAAACACCGGCTACAGTGCATGACTGCAGACTGATGGCTTCTGAGGCCTTTGACTGTCAGGCTGGGCCTACCTCTTGTTGCTGCTAGGAATTTCCAGCAAACCCACCACCCAGTGATGGCCCCAATGACTCTCCCTCCCTGCTCCTCTTCGGAATCTGATCCCAAGAAGGGTTTGTCCTGGTGACACCCTTTTTTTTCTGTGAGTGCCCAAGGGCCTGATGGAGCCATAACTTCTCCCGCAGCCAGTGCCAAGTCCTCCCCCTACCCCATTTCCATGGGATAGGGAATGGGGGGTCACTTTCCAAGTGCCAAAGAGCCCAGGGGGACTCTAAGAACTCTCCTCTCATCTCCTTAGGACTGAGGAGGTGGAGAAGCTTTCCCATAAGTAATTCCCACTCCATCTCTGGGTCCAGGACTCTGCACCAGCTCCACAGAGAGAACCTGTGTCTCTGGAGCTGGGGTGGAGGCTGGTGAACACATGATGGCAGCCGTTTGTAGTTGTGTCTCTGCAGTGCCATGGGCATGGAGGAAGGGAAACCAGAGACCCTGTGCAGAAGCCCAGACTCACTTCACAGACCTCAGAAGCTCTCATCTTCATTTTATTAGTTGTGTTAGGTAACGAGGGGGCTCAGGGGCCATGGCCATCTTTACACACACATTGTTGGGGCCTTCCATGCACGTGACTGGGTCAGATCCACACTGTGCAGATCTTTGGGCCTGTGACCTACTGGAGAAGAGAGGAGATATGTCGGGAATAGATTAGGTAACCCCCTCCTTCATCCAAGATTTGGCAGTCCTCGGAGGGGCATACCACCCCCTTTGTGACCTTAGGTCTTCCTTCTTCACCCATATCTTGGCACAGTCTCCCTGGCTTGGCCTTAAATCCACTCATCATTTCAGCCCCACTCCTTCCTTCCTGACTGTCCTCCTCGCCCCTTCTCTCAAGTCTCTCTCACTCGCCCTTCAGTCTCCCCCACCCACATTCCACCTGGCATGGCCCAGCCCTCCTGGCTCCCACTCCTGAGGCCGCTGCCCCTCACCAGTCTCTCCAGAGCATGAGCAGCTGCATCCTGCACACTCACAAACAGCTGCTCGGGGGTCACTCTGTCCAGGAGTCCTGCCCGGGTTAGTGTCCCCAACACCAAGGCTGTGTGGTGAGAATGCCAGGCACTGAGGCCCTAAGTTTACGCGGCATCCCCTTGCCTCCCCCGTTGCCCAGTCATCCCCCAGTCTCTGGGCACCTGCACCCTCCACACTCACCATTACACTGAGCCAGGAGCAGGGGGATCCCAGCATCTCGGCATCTACCAGCTAGCTGCAGGGGTGGGGCAGAGGGGTAACTTCCCAACTCAGAGGGCATGAGTGGAGTGAAAGGAGTCTCCTCAACCCACCCTCACCTGTACCACTTCTCTGGCCCCAGCAGCATCTGCAAAGGTGACACCACTGAAGTCTAGGATCAGCACTCTGACAGGCTCGGCAACTAGGGTAGGAGAAGGCAGAAGTACCTAGATGCCTCCGTGGGGCATGTCCAGATTCCCTCCTTGTCATCCCATCTCACCTGAGCCAGGTGAGCCATCTGGAATTTCCTGTGAGTAGAGTAGGGCAAGCATGAATGTGCACCCCCCTGAGTACCAGGATCCCCCTCAGGACACCCACCTGCCTCCCCTGCCCAGAAGGGTCATGCTCCTCTTTGACCGAGTCCCCTCACCTTGCCTCCTTCTCCAAGGCACAGGTGCCACTCCAGGTCATGGCGAAACTGCCCACGGGTCCCGAAGTAGATGGGTGTCGGAACTCTCAGGATGCAGAGTCCTGGGACCTGGAGGAGCTGAGGGTCAAAGGGTCAGAAAACAGCCGGGTCTCATCTTTCCTGCTGTCTTTGGCTGAAGCCCACCCACCTTGTGGCTCTCTGTGAGTGGCCTGTAGAGCTCTGTCCCCTCAGCCAGTCCGAGTGCCAGGCACTGCACCCTGGGGAAGAAGCTGCAGTCAGGTTCCCAGCCTGGTCTGGCCTGGCGAGTCACCTGAGCATTTTGCTCTCTACTTCCCTCATCTTGACTGCTCAGCTCTATACCCACCTCTGGGTGCGGCACACCACAGTCATCATGGAGAAGACCACACCCACGGCCAGGCCCAGGTCCACGCTCAGGGTCACTACAGCCACCCATGTGACCATCCACACAGCCTACAGGACATGGATGGGGTGGATTGCCCAGAATAACGGCTGGGCCGGCACTGCCAGGGCAGTGACTGCGGGGCGAGTGATGGGAAGGGAGGCCCAGGAAGAGGGAGGAAGCATGATAGAGGGAAGGGACAGGATTCTCCCAAAGGGATACACACCAAACATAATGACCCCACTTAGGAGACAGTCAGGTTTGAGTCCCTCCCTTTTCCTTGTCACTCAGTAAAGGTACAAGGAGGTTTTGGAGGTGGGTGGGTTGCAGAACTTAGGACCAGGACAATTATTTAATAGCTTTTGTCCAGAGCAGAGAATGGAGACGCTGGGAAATGGGAGAAGGGCAACTAGGGGTAACGTTTCCATTTCTCACAAAGTCCATGCGGCTGATGCGCCATAGTTGTGGAAGTTCCTGCATCTGGAAAAACATCTGGCGCATGCTGGAGATGTTGATGCAAGCCAGGACAGCCTTGGGACAGAAAGGCAAGCCAACAACTCCAGTGTCCTGGAATATGGCCACTCTTCCAAGGCACACCTACGCCCCCCTCTGCTCCTCACCTTGGGTAGATAGTAGAAGAAGGGCCCCAGCCACAGCAGCACTGACAGGACCACTAAGCAGGAGAAGAGGCCTGCCAGCTGGAGGGAAGGACGGATGGAAGCAAAGAGGAAAGGGATTCTCCCCTACCCCTGCGTGAGAGCTGATCTCCCTGCCCACTCTACATCATTCTCTTCCGAAGTCTCCCTCATCTCCTCCCACACAGACTTTCCTCACTCCTCGATCCCCCTTCTTGATATTCTGTCATTCATACCTACCTTTCCCCTTGCCCTAATTAAATGCCTGTCATTGGTCAGTCTCCCCTGGGTGTATGTAGTTCAAGTTTCCTATTTGTGTCCCCATGTCCATCTAAAAGCCACTGTTGGATTACCCTAGAAGCAGGTGAACCACATGCTTAGGGCATCAGGAAAGTAAGGGAAACCAAAAACATTAGAGGGAGACTTTTAAAAAAAAAATGTCCTGGGGAACCAGCAGTTAGCGTAATGGCTATGTCGCTGGACTCCCACGTAGTCAACCGCGGTTCACGTCCCGGACCCGGTGGCTTAAAACTCATGCCGGGCGCGTGTGCGTGCGTGCCCAAGATCCCGAGAGGAGAATGGAGGAGAAGGGATTGTGGCGTGACCATCCCCCCTGGGGGGTGATTTCTCGCTTTCTGTCTCTATGTCTCTCTCTGTC